AATAGATGCAGGCTTCGTCGCGGGAGATGAAGTCTCAGCTCACTACGACCCAATGATTGCAAAACTGATCGTTCGCGGTGCCACGCGGCAAGAGGCAATCCGTAAACTAGCAGCCGCCTTGGAAGAATATGAGGTTGCAGGCCCTATCACCAACATCGAGTTCATCAAATCCGTTTGCAGAAGCCCAGATTTCATCAAAGGCGAGGTGGAGACAGGTTACATTGAAAAGCACCGTGATGAATTGTTCATCAAGGACCCGATTGAGGATGAGGTACTTGCACAAGTGGCATTGGCTTGTCTACACCACAACTCCGAATCAGCGACCGGGAAGCAGGCAAACTTTGAAGGGTCCGCTGTCGGATTCAGCCCCAGCTATCAAGTACGAGAGATTACACTAGCAGAACTGACACCGGGACGGAAAGATGGCACCAAATTCAATGTTCGTGTCAAGCAGACCGGCAACAATGTGTTTGATATCGAGGTTGGCAGTCGTGTTTTCGAGCAAGTGACTAGCCATAGCGATCCCGCATCCAAAGTCGTGACATCCTTCTTTCCCCACACTCGACTTGACACGACTGTGGTACAAGATGGGGATTCCGTCGTTGCGTTCCAGCGAGGTACTCAATACCGCCTAACGATCCCACGGGCCAAATGGATGGAAAAAGCATTGGGCATGAAGGATGTCACCAACAGTGTCTTGGCCCCGATGCCCTGCAAGGTGCTGCGCGTGGAGGTCAAGGCAGGCGATGTTGTGGAAAAAGACCAGCCGCTGGTTGTAATTGAGAGTATGAAGATGGAAACAGTAATTCGCAGCCCCCAAAAGGGAACCATCTCCAAAGTGGTACATCAGAAAGGGGTAGGTCACGAGTCTCTTTTTTTGCGCTTTTGTTTTTATTGTCTTTGCCCCCTGCGCATCGTTCCCGTTTATTGATTGGTCACTTGATCGATGGGGCCCTTTGGTTTAGCGCCAAGTCGGACCATCATGGTTGGAGTTTGGAAGCCTTGGAGAGCTGCGACAGAAGCACGGGCCCTCACGTCAAGCTTCGAGAACACCCTCCCTTATGCTTCCAGAACTTCCGCTTTTTGATCTCTCAGCTTCAAGAGTGGTGGATGACTGACGTGTTTTTATAGGATCAATGCAAGAGCGGTACTCCTCTGGTCGAATTCGCAGAGGAAGGTGAAGGGACTTCCAGTTGATGCACAAACCTTCCATTGGAGCTAGGATAGGACCGATCGGGGACGGACATTGTACTGTGTACGTCGATATGTTTTGCCAGATTCCCTTTTGGGCGTAGATATCTGCCTTAGATTCAAATACAGGAGCTGCATATGTTGTAACCTTGGTCATGAGTCGGCATGTCTGCATCAAAAGGATTAGTAAACATCCTACATTTAACTATACGTACTGTTTAAAGACTGCCAATAATAAGGTAGCGAATGGCACAGCTTAAAACCATCACAAAAGTACTAAAAATATGCACAGTTCAGAAAAGTCTTGAGACCACCCTGGCCATTCTGGTGGAGCGAAGGTCGTGGAAGCAAGACAGACCCATGAAAGGAGAGCATGAGGCTCCTGGACATGGGACGTGCGGGGGAGTTTGGGATGTGGTCATTATTTACCGTTCCAGCCGGAGACGAACCTTGTGGAGTAGCAGATCCACTACTGGGCACTACTCCACTTCCCCCAAGTCCTTAGTTTGAATGATGCCACAGATTGGACAGGATTCTTCCTGGTAACAGCAGACCACACCGTGCTCCTAAGTGCACTCAATCCCTCTTGTGCTATGGAGTACAGTGCTTAGACTTGGTCGCGACAGGACCAGCTAAGATGTGACAAATACATTAGTGATCTCCTCCTCGCCTTTGATGCACATTTGCATATAATTAACAGGAGGCAAGTACCAGTGACCGAGTACATGCAGGCTGCAGCGGTTAGCTTGCCATAAAATGGATGCTGGCATTGGCACGCATGCAGGATATTCAAAATTGAAGCACTCGAAGTAAGTTTTTACTTTTTCTTGATAAGGAGAGGTCGTGATAAATATCGAATGAAATGTTTCTGATGATAAACATCGACATAATGGTTGACTCGGTGGCGTGCATGATCAATCCTTGTCTGCTACTCACTCCGTCAACAGACTTAACAGTATTGTTGAATTGAGTTTTGACAATATTACTGCAACTACTACTTGGTTACTATTATAGAATTAGCGATTATTGGAGGTACTTCCGACATCTCTCCTACTTCTGATGGCCAACATTATTTGGGTACGACTTGTTCTCCTTCACAAGCACACGAGGGCAAGGGGTAGATAGAGGACACATCCAGATACTCCTTAGAAATGCCAATGCCAGTGAGAACATAAAAGAATAGAAAGATAAAAATGAAAATAAAAGCAACCAATACCGGAAGATGGATAATGGACAGAATCTTCTACTAGCTGGTGAAACCTCGCGAGGATCGAGGGACCGTGTTGGAGTCACGCGGAAAGAAAATGGGCAGCGCGGCGACGAAGCCGGGATGCCTAACGGGCCAGTGGCTTGGAAATCTGGTAGAACACCCCACTGCATGGCAGATCTTGGTCCAGATCGCTGCATGGCGGTTGGGGTCTGGCCCATGGTTTTCCTCCATCACCGCCGCCTGACATCGCCCAGGAATACATAAACAAGAACTTTTTTATAGAAAACATTGCCAGAAAAAGAAACCTACGAATGGGAAATTTTGACCTGAATCATACCCCCGGTCATCCGGGTCACGCCTGCAATTCCTTCTGTCTGACTTGTCTGTTCCATCGGATATCCCGTTGCGGAGTTCCATTCCATGTACTTATTTCACCGCAATTGATCCAGCTCTTCTCTTGTATATATACACAGCATCAGTAATTAGATGCCTTTAATTGATACTTGTACTTTTTTTTCGCCTAGAGTACTTATTCGGACTTTCCCTCTCTTTCCCTCAAGCCTCTTTTACCTTTGTTTACTGTCTCCCCTCCTGGAGATAGCATCGCGCTAAGGACAATCTTTTATCCACATATCTCTCGCATATACGATGTACAAACCTACTGTCGGTCGTCTGGCCAGGAAAGCTCTCAGTCAGACTCCTCGCCCTGCTGCATTCGCTGCTCCTCCCCGGCCTTCCGCCTCTAAGACTTTCTTCCGACCTCTCTCGTACACAATTTCTCGCGCGAAAGATGCAAAGAAGGATTCGGAAGATTCCGCTGAAGTGGAAGGGCGATTCGCGCGTACTGATGAGAGCGTCGTAATTGAATACCCCGCCGATGCGGACATGCCTCGTACTCCGATCGTCCAGGGCCGTGGAGGAATGCACTTCAAGCGCACCCTTGCCCAATTCTCCCTAGAAAACAAGGTCAGCTTGGTGACAGGAGGAGCCCGCGGTCTTGGTCTGGTCATGTCTCAGGCACTTGTTGCGTCCGGCTCTGATTTGGCCATTGTTGATTTAAACCGTAAGTTTCAGACCATTAGTTGCATCGGATGGTTTCCAGAATCACAGCTAATGCGCCACAGGAAAGGAAGCTGAAGAGCAGGCTCAGAAGCTCGTCGAACAGTTCAAGAAGGAAAATCCTGGCTTGGAACAGTAAGTCAATTGGCGGTTCTCAGGCTTTTTGCCAGTTCCTGACGACATTTCTTCCCTATATCTAGAATGCCCAACGTTACGGCTCACTACGCCGATGTGGCCAATCCTGACTCTGTAAATAACGCAATTGCGGAAGTTATCTCGAAGCACGGCCGCATCGATCACTTGGTCACTTCCGCTGGTTTTACTGAAAACTTTGATGCCATCTCCTACCCTTACGACCGCATGCAAAAGCTCTGGGGTGTCAACGTTGATGGTACATACTTGTTTGCAATTGGTGTTGCAAAGCATCTCATGGAACGCAAGGCTCCGGGCAGCATGGTCATGATTGGAAGCATGTCTGGTGCCATTGTCAACGTTCCTCAACCCCAGGCTCCTTACAATGCCGCCAAGGCTGCCGTCCGTCATCTGGCCGCTTCTCTTGCTGTGGAATGGGCCGCTCATAACATTCGAGTTAACTGCATCAGTCCTGGATACATGCTAACTGCTCTGTAAGCCACCGTCTCCCACTTCCTACTCTGAGCGACAGGCTGACGTCAACCTCTATAGGACCCGCAAAATTCTCGATGAAAGGCCCGATCTGAGAGACAAATGGACTTCTCTCATTCCTGTCGGGAAGATGGGCACTCCCGAAGACCTGATGGGCGCCGTGACATTCCTGCTCAGTGACGCATCCAAGTACATTACTGGTGCGGATCTCCGTGTTGATGGTGGATACACTTTGACCTAATCTGGACGTGTGACTTGTCTTAATTTCGATGCTCTATTTTTTGCAGTTCTTCACGAAGCGATGTATGGGATTTTTGGATGCGCTATAGACCGTTCTGATGTGATTTGTTCCTTTCGGTAGTGAGCTGCCACTAAATATCTCATCCGGTTGTATTACGCGACTTTGGATTGTCTTCTCGGGAGGGAGTACTTTTCAAGCGCAAAATCGTCATTTGTTATTGCTTTACCTGGGAACAAAATCATTGTCTGGTTTTTCTTTTTCTTCCGCATACAATAGACTTGTCAATTGTGTTTTGTTCTGCGATGAAAGGGATCCTCCCATCATGTCATGTCTCAACTACCGAGCCATTCAGCTATACTCCAAAGCGGATCGTTCTCCATATCAGTGGAAATATCATCAGGGGTAGTACGGGGCATGAAATTGGTTCGGTCCAGCCAATTGTACAGGAAGCACCTTTAGTTAGCGGTACTACTTACCATAACTGTTCAAGGGCATAAAAAAAAGTATCTATTCGGATTGAAAAATTCTCCGCCGGCTATTCTAACATCTAAGGGATATCATATCATCCAGACTATCTCCAGGTCCAAGTCCAAGCTCGACACGCAATGCACCCAGGGAAAGGGGGGGAAAGGGAACTTTTACACTGACGGAAAAAAAAAAAGTACATGGGCACGATCAAGCCTTGCTAATCTCCTTCTTCACCCACTTCTCCAATCCGCCCTGGGCAATGATGTCTTGCAGGTTTGGAGGGAAAGCAGGTACGCTCTGGCTCCAGGTTTCACCGCCCGGGCCTTCCTGGACGGTGACCTGGGAGGTGCGCACGTTCCAGCTGAAGGTCCATCCCGTGCGACGGGTTGGTTGCTTTTCGCTGCCAAAGGCTTCGCGCAGGCGCTCCACGAGGCGGGGTATCTCGAGGAGAGGTAGGGCGTTGTTGACGGCGTTGCGGCTGAAGGTGTTGCCGATGCTGCCGGCGACGACGAGGGGGAGTTGCTTGGCGAGGATGGAGGTGGCGGCTTGCTCGCGGGAGGAGCCGCAGCCGAAGTTGAAGCCGGAGACGAAGATGTCTGTTTATTCGTGTTAGACTCTGGGGGATGAAGAGGTGACAAGAAAGGGAAGGTAACAAACCTCCTGCGCGGGCGATGCCGCTGAAGGCAGGATCGTAGTTCTCCATGCAGACCTGCGCCATCTTCTCCTTGGTGACATCGTCCTGGTATGTGTATTTGCCTGTGATGTTCGTTAGCGCAAACAGCGTGATTGTCTGTCTGAGGAGGCTTACCAGGGTAGATGCCATCAGTGCTGATGTTGTCTGCATCAAGGAAGAGGATTTCACCTTCAACCTTCTCGGGGAAGCCGGGAACGATGTCGACCTCGGTGGAACCGGAGCCAGTCGACTCTTCCGGCATCACGGCCTTGCTCGACGACTCGATTATGCTATCCAGCTGTCCAATGAACTTCTCCATTGCTTCCAAAGTCGTGTCGATGCGAGTACCGGACTCGACCACTTCGCCTTCACCGATGGAAACGCCGGCCCAGTCTTCAGGACGCTTGTAGATGCTGGGTCCGCTAATAGCACCGTTCACTAGCCAGAGTTAGCGGTTTTTTACAGGTAAGGTACACCAATAGGGAGAGACATACGTGCACTGGCCGCGACAACCTCAGGACTGGCAAGATAGGCCTTGGCATCAGGCGAACCCATGCGGCCCTTGAAGTTTCGGTTACTGGCCGAGATTCCAACTTCACCCTCCTTGAGGAGACCGGCACCGAGACCAATACAGACAGCGCAACCCGCTGGCAGAGGGATGGCGCCGGCGTCCATCAGAGCTTGCCAGTCACCTGCCACCTCTGCAATCTTCTGTTCAGCCTTGGAAGCCGCCGCAACGTAGAACTCGACGCCGTCCGCGACCTTCACAGGCCCACCCGTCCTGGCAACAGCGTCCTTGAACACCTTGGCCGCGGCGGCAATATCCGATGCTCTCGAGTTAGTGCAGGATACCAAGTAGGCTTTGTCGATCTTCAGCTTCTGTTTCTCCAGTTCGTCAATCGGGGTGGCAACCTTGACGGAGTTCGGTCCGGAAACGTAGGGCGAGAGGGTCGACAGATCCAGGTATAGGTATTTGGCGTACTTGGCACCACGGTCAGCGACGGTGGGGTTGGCGAACAACTCGTTGATACGCTCCTCGGCAAATCGGCGCGCCGTCTCTGTGCGTGATGCGGTAGCGGCCTTGTGTCTCAGCCACTGCTCCAAGGTCGAGTCGATGGGGAACAGTCCGGTCAGAGCGCCCCATTCGGTGGTCATATTGGCGATGGTCAGACGGGTGTCGACAGAGAGACTCTTCATGGTCTCCTCCGAGCCAGTGAACTCAATCGCGTAATTGAGAACCTCGTCTTTGTTGAAGAGACCTGACAAAGCAACAATGACGTCCTTTCCGGTGACACCCTCAGGGAGGGTGCCGGTGAACTGCACTTTTGCGATAGGGGGGACCTTCCACCAGGTACGGCCGGTAGCCCAGATGGTCGCGGCATCGGTACGAACCATGGGAGTGCCCAGACAACCAACTCCGCCGTACATGTTGGAGTGACTGTCACTCGCCACAGTGACGGTGCCGGGGAAGGCATATCCCTCCTCAATCATGATCTGATGGCCGACACCGTGGCCTGCTGGGTAGAAGTCGATACCATGCTGGTTGGCAAACTTCTCAATCGATTCGTATTTCTTCAGGTTCTTCTCGCTCTTGTTCTGAACATCGTGGTCCAGGGTCATGACAATCTGGTTGGGGTTGTGGACCTTGGATGCGCCAATTGCCATAAACTTGAGCGCGGTCGGCCATGAGTTGTCATGGGTCATGCAACGATGGGGGCTCAGCATCACATAGTCTCCAGCCTTGACGTATTGGCCTTCGGCGAGACCCAGGGAATATGCCTGTACGATCTTCTCGGTAAGGGTCTGGGGAACGCTGGGGGCGGCATCGGGGGCGAGCCAACTCGACGGCGAAGGAGAGGTTTGTGTGGCCGGGGAGGATGCCTCAGCGTAATTGCGAAGGGAGGTAGTGGCAAAGGATCGAGGACGACATAGAGACAGAGAGGTAGAGGAGGTTGATAATGGGATCAAGGGTCGACCGATAACGGGGGCTCGCGATGCTCTGCACCGAAGCAGCAAAGATCCGGTGCGTTTCTTCAGAAGTCAGCCATTGAACAGTAGTATGGAATAATGGAGAACATACAAACATTGTATGCTATATTTAAGAACACAATGCAAATTGACTAAGAAAAACAAAAGAGGGTATCAAAGAAATACCAAAGCGAACAAGAACCCCAGAAGGGAAAAATTGAGTCACGACCAGAAAATCGGCAATTACTCGGTATCACACCCGATGCCGGACGCAGCGTCCGGGGTATCTTAATAATCAGCGCTCACTGGTTCGTCCGTCTCGACATCTGGGTCTGGGTGCCTGGGTGCCTGGGTGCCTGATTTTTTGGCGCCTCAGGTATCCACGATAGGCAGCCTGTGCCCTACAGTTATCAAAGTCCAGCTCCATAAGATATTCATCAACGCTAATCGATGAGACATTAGGTACAAGACTGTTCTCAGATAATATTTAGATGATTCTAAGTGTGTTTCAAACCGACTGAAATATATATAGAGTCACTCATCCTGTCACAATCCGGCTAGTCTGCTATCTACGAGATTGGTCAAAAAGATACATGATCAATTATCATGCACTTGGCTGATTCTTAGTTTGATTCTATATCCAATTATAAAATCTGATAGTCTACCTAATATAAGTAGATACCTACTGCCCTCCTCGAATCATCGTCCAGTCTTCTAGAATGTTTCCTTCCTGGTGGACCGTTGCCGTCCTTTTTCCATCCTCATTCGCCTCACCATCATTGTCTCATGATCAAACTCTAGGTAACTCTTGTTCTTTACTTTTCTTCTAAAATCAAGGATCCAGATATCACGTTGGCAAAAGACCAACAATGGATGGATCTCTATCCGGGCCGCTCCAAATCCCTCGGAAGGTAAAAACCAGAAACTTTCTTTGAGATGGCGCAGGTCAATGACATTACTTGACGCTGTTTTGTGTTAATCACTGGTTAATCATGATCACCAACACTACTTTTCTACCACTCCAGTCAAGTTCATGTACTTCAGCATCTAAATAATATGGTTAGGCCTGTTTGAATCCCTCTCTTTTTATATCTGCCCATTTCTCGTCCTCTCTTGTAGGATCTCATGAACCCATACCGATCCTAGCCATATTTCTCTCACTGTTTTATCAGCATATTCCATAGTACTTGTTCTGGCCCACGTTTACTCTGTATCTCCTCATCCCGGTTCTTTCTGCCTTTTTTGCCCTTCCCCAGAGAATGGCACTCGTTGTGTTCCTGTATGTAGTTCAAAACAACTAATCCTGGCAGCACTGTCTCGCATTGTAGGCCTAGGTGTGAGGAAACTTACAGATATACAAACAGAATCCAACCCTACCTCTTCTTAGGAACACTCTGCAGCAATTTACCCATGCTTTTTTTGTTGAGTCCTCGGTGCCTGACTCTCATATGAGAGCTGCGGACGGCTGTTTGTACTTGTTTCTGAGTCCTGTACTATTAACTGATCCTCACCTCACCTCAGATCTTCAACTCCCTGCCACCTCTTGTGTTTGTTTACCTCAGAACTGTCTGCTTTGTTCATGTTGGAATCACAGCCAGGCCTGACATCCCAACCTTCTCGCGATGTCTTGTTTACATACGTGAATATTCATATTCGTCTTGGTTCTGTGGGCTTCGAGATAACAGTCTGATATCATCATACACAACTTGTCCAACGATTCTTCCAACTGTTTCAGACCATGAGCAGGCTCAGATAAATCTCTCTCTTCGACTACTCTACTTCTACCCATTCCCCCTCACACAGTACCATGTCCCATATGGAGGAACTTCCTGAAGGCTTGCTTTCGACTGCAAAGACTCTCCCGTCGTCGTTTGATGATTCGATGCCAGTGCATGTTCAGGACATTACGCACTTATGGAAAGGTACCTTTTCTTGCTCCTTAAGATCGCGCCTTTGACTCAAAGTGACTGAGCTATATGATCAGCCTACAATGTCAAGCCCTCAGCGCTCGAAGGCATCATTGGATACAGATTGGAGAACTTCTTTTGGCGGATTTGGAGCAATGAGTGCCTTCGCATCTCTCTTCCCGGCGCGACTGTGGCCAAGTTGTTTATGCGCATCTCTGAGTCTACCACTTCAAAAGTGAGCGAGGTACATGGCCATCTTCGAGTGATTTGTGTCGTTATTGGTCTCCCCACTAACTTGAGATAGGTCTCATCGGACATAAATCCATCTCTGAGGAAGAACAAGAGCGAGGGGAAGTTGCCAGACCGTCTCAACAACCAAGTAGCTCATAGAGGGCCACTGCATTCCATTTTGAAGAAACCCAATGCCGCACCGAAAGAAACACATAAAACGACCCGTTGGCTCATAACAGACGACAATGATAATAACAACAGTACTTGCGAAGCAGTGAGCTCAGCGACTACTATCACTCCTGCGACAGATGTATCTACTAGTCGCCACAGTCACAAGAAGACGCAATTTGTCGCGAGTAAGACAGCAAAGGGCTCGAAGCGGCGACCCGTCATCCTTCGTCGCAAGTCCTCCCAGTCAACCTCTGGTTTCAAGTCCACTCGGACTCAAAGCCCGCAGCGTGGATCATTCATAAAAAGAGCAGAGAAGACAGAGGAATATGTCGAGCCCGAGGTACACTTGCCGGATTGGCGAGAAGTGACTCGCAGCCCGTCTCCGGAACTGAAAGGTAAGCCCTCTATTCGGGCCATATGCCTATCTGGGGATGCCTCGAGCACCGTATGTTGAACCATCGCGTCGACCTCTAATGGACGCTCACAGAGGCAATACCACTACCGAAACACATTGAAGAAATCATGCCAGCGGAACAGCCTGAGCTGCCACCGACTTTTCTGGCCAATCTGAAAGTTCTTCTCAAGCTCAGGCCGCGAACAGCGAGCTACAAAACCGCGCCTCTCACCATGGGCTTCCGGTCACAGATTCCCAACAAGTTCCGCGACATTCGCTACCTGTATATTGAATATTACAAGCCACCACCCCGAGCCATCGTTCATGCAGAGTTCCGAGCTCTCTTCCAGAAGCGAATGTGGGAGGAACAGATCTTTTTGGCCTCCTTCTTCGATAAAAAAGAATTGCAACAGGGGCAGGAATCCTTCGGTAGCGAGGGAACCAGTCTTAGTACGACATTTGAGTCGTCAACCTTCAGCAATTCGAACGGCAATGCTTCAACAGCGCCCACTTCCGTCGATGTCTCGATGACAAGCGAGTACAACGCCAACGCGGCAGAGTCAGATGACGGCTTCCTCACCGGCACGGGAGAAATACCCCGGTCTTTCTTCCATTATACGCCCTCGCCACTACCACGGCTGGAGAGCCTGCTTGGTATGGAGATTGAAGAGCGCCGCAGGAACGGCACGCTCGTATACGAAGAGATTGATCCGGAGGACGAGAATCTGGGACCAGTAAAGTTGCCTCGGTGTTATTATGACACGCTCAGTGAATGGGACTATCACGACTAACATCTTCGCTTGCTTGTACTCTATTCTAACGGCCTGGAACTATGTATTGATGACCACACGAATTGCTTACTAGCCTGGCGTTCCTGTTCTCGGGCTGTGGAGACTCATGGATTGGGCATCTGGAGGACTGCAGTTGACTCGAAGAGTTGGGTGTTTTGTGTCAGTGTATTCAGGATATGATTGTCTCCATCTATGAAGTTATCGCCTGTATATCTTCACATTCTTCATCGTCCACACCTTGAGATCGACCACCTTTCTTCATTAATATGCAGCAAGCAACAGTTCCCTAACACGTCCAATACAACCAGCAGCCTCACCCCAAAACTAGCTACTCAACCCATCTAAGGACCAGCCTTCTCAACATCCTCCAATTCCCTCTCCCCTCCCTCCTGTCCCCCCTTCACCCCCCTCCACCACCTCAAGCCAACCCACCCCATGGTACCCACCCACAACCCCAAATTCACCAGATCCACCCAGACCGCATGCCTCATCCGCGTCACCTTATCACCCTCACTATAATCCCCAATATACATCTTCCCAAAAATCCCAAACAGGGTCAACCAAAGCACACAGAGCACGCTCTCCCAGATAAACAGCGGGAGCTGCAGTCTCACCCGCCGCGCCACCGGTGTCCGCCCTTTCATCAAAAACGGCAAGACGAGGTAGACGGCTGCTGTCACGGTGGCCAGGAGCGCGGTGACGACCGCATACACCCATTTCGCGGCCTTCCCTGCCCCGTGGAGATCCTGCCCGTAGAGGCCTATAACTGTGAGGCCGAAGACAAACTGGATGAAACGGAGGATGGTCTCGAGGAGAGTGATAAGGGGATTCCGGGCGGCAGTGGAATCGGCGGGGAAAGGCATGTTGGTGTTGCGGTCGAGGTTGATGCCTTCGGACTCGGTTGTGGTGGTGTCGCAGGCGTTCTTCTTGGCCTTGTGCTTTTTGGCTTCTTTGACGCCGATGCGGAGGAGCTTGAAGGCGAGGAACCACATTAGAATTCTGTGGATCTAAGTTGTGGTGTCAAGTGAGGTTGCTATGTGTCGGCTGTGGGTGTGGTATGTAGGCGTGGTTGAAGGTGCAGGAAAGGTATAATCGCGATTGAGCCAAGTGAAAGTCTTCTTGACAGTATATTGCGTCCAGCGCAAAGAGTAGATGTGACAGAGTATTTCAAGGTCTCTCAGAGTCCCCTGGAAGCCGACTTCGTAGAGCAAAGACTGTTATGCCACAACCGGACAATGAATGAAACCCTAGTCTAGCAACGCCTCAACAATTTCCAACGACAAAGAACAAAGAGACGATCAATGAAGTGTGATCAAAAGGGAAAAAAAAAAAAAGGAAGTAGAAAGAGTGTTGTGTGAATGCCACTTGTTATTCATCTTGTCCTGGTACTGAGTCTTTGGTCTTTATATACTTATTGGACACAGTTCTGATACAGACTCTCTTTCAGAGCCGACACAATATGCTCTTTGTCGTTCCAACCATTTCTCCCAAGTCTTTCTTCTCATCCATCGGATCGACCTTGCTGGAGCTGTCCTGAAACAGACTGCTCTGTAGCATGACAGCGCCTGGCTTTTTTGCTTCGCGCGCGGCTAAGCTGGTTCCAGGCCTCAAGCATTCCCATGCGATAAACGACAGTAAGCCGTTGTTTCAGACGCTGGATAGACAGAATTCTCTTATTGGATGACGCTGCAAGATTAAGATCTATGTCAAACTGGGCGGCTGTAGTGGCAGCGATCTGCTAAATTCAGCTCGTGTCATCGGAAGCGCCAAACTGCATTGACTGGTTGACAGTTTCTGCTTAAATCTATTTATGGCTCTGCGCAAACTTTTTTTTCATAGATGGAAACACGATCAGACATCTTGGACCATCCAGGCAAGATGTGATCCCTTATGGGCCTTGTCCAATCGAGTAACTAATCAACCCCAAACGATATTCACATTGCTACTCTGACACTGATCGACTGATCATTCTGCTCTAACTCAACAAACTCTCGACAACTAACAATCTGTAGCGCCAACCAACGACCCAAGATGCACCTTTCCATGCTGCTTCTCTCTGTAGAACCAAATACGAGAACCCATAATTCCACCGACTATCCTGCCGTTTCAAACCCAACCGAACATGCCACCCCAATATGCGTACTAGAATGCTGTGGCCCTCCAGATGAAAAGGACCTGACCATGACTAACATAGATGCAAGTGCAGTTTACCTGCTGGATTCAATGCTTCGTGACGTTGTCGTGATGTTCATCAAGATATGTAATTGGAGAGGGGATTTCATAAGTGCAAAACCTGCGGAAAGAACAGCTGAGAGATCAAGGCTAAAACTTAGACCAAGATAAAACAAAAGGCAAGGAGAGACTACTCGACGCAAAAAAAAGAAAAGTTGAAACAGGAAAATGAGCAGCGACCTTCATCATGGGGGTAAATGTACCACTCGAACACCATCCGAAAGGCCCTCGAAAATGGAATCAGTCGGAAGATGTTGCGAACGGTGTGGACCCCCAAGGCCGTTTGCGCCCATTGTCAGGGTGGTCGAGTACTTGCCGCATCTATGCTTGCCTGCATATGCGGCGGGGGTGTCGTTGGCTTGATTAGATGTCCGGGCGCCGGCGGCGACTTGAAGGAATTGGGCGGTGCAGGCGGTGGCATGGGAAGGGGTTCATCGTCGTACTCATGACCTAAGTATTCGTCGTCATGCGCTCCGTGGCCAGCGACAGAAGAATGATCGACAGATGCGCGATCGTATCCTTGATCATATACCGTCTGGTGAGCCGCCGCGCTTTTCGCCGCATTCTTAGTGGCCTTCTTGCCCTTGCGGCCCTTCATCTTGGCCTTTTCAAGCAGTCTCTTCTTTTCCGCCAGTCGCTTTCGCTCTTTGCGATCCTTGATCTCGTATTGCCGGATTAAGGCCTCGGGTGGCCGACCAAAAATGCTCTCGTACTCGCAAAACTCGCAGATCCAGATATCTTCAGGACTTGGGGGATGGTGGAGATTAGCATACTGTTGCTGAATCTTGCGTTGACGGGCTGCCAATGCGTAGATGCTCCCCTGTGACCGCCTCTTCTTTTTACCTGTACCGGGTGACTCGGCACCAGGGGCTTGCTGATGAGGATGTTGAGGTTGTTGATTGCCGTGCGCCGCCATACTCGGGCTTGTTTGGGTTCCTTGTGTGGAGATGCCTCGCGGAGTTTGACTTGCGAGCGGTGCGGACGAACGCTGCGGTGCTGGATACAGACTTTGAGACTGCAAAGCCATACCTTTCGACGAATCGGACTCGCAGGTGAAGGTGAATTGTGTCTTGGTTGGTGTTGTTTGCTGTTCAAGCAAGCTGGTACCCCCCTGGCCTCGTGGAGGAGAGGAAAAGGCCGCAGCGTTCGCTATGGCGGCGGAAATGATACCCTGGTCGGATTTTGCTGTAGGGTCACCTAAACACGGAGTGAGTGATAATCACCGGGATGTGTTGAATTCCAAAGGGGAGGGATAGAAAGTACCTGCGGGTGCCGACGTGGATAACATGCCATCCCGGCGACCTGCTGCTCGGGCCGCGGGCCAGCCAATCTGAGAATGGACCGACAGGGAGTTTCTTGACGGACCACTGCGAGATGGATGCCGCCCAAGACGGCCTCTACCGGGGCCCGAAATACCGCCGAGTCCAGGAGACGCGGGGCTGCCGGTACCATAATATGTGCCAACGTTATTTACTTCGTGAATCGTGGTTGACGCCGCCTGTGCGGAGCTTGCCAGCCCCATGTTTGCAAATTCAGGGGAGAGTGTGGAATGATGACCGCCCAAATTTCCGGGAGTAGGGATTTTGCGCTTCTTCTTGTTATTAGTGTTCTCGAAGGCATCGTATCCGTCGGGACCTGTCGAGGGAGACTTGATCGGTAATCCTTCTACCTTGCCAGAAGGTGCATGGGGTTGAATTCTTGCAGCAGACGGCGAGAGAGACGACCCGCGAAAACCGGCGCTTCGACGAACCACAACCGGACCGTCCTCGTCACCGCTCTCTAGATCGAGGCTGTTTTCATAGGTGTGGTGTGTTTCTCGCTCCGCAATATGATCATGCGCGTCCGTGTCTAGACTTTGTTGCACGTAGACTTTGCTGTCATTAACAACCTCTCCATGGTCCGCAGAGGTTCCGTAGAAGAGTTGGGTCGCTGGGGGTGCGGGAGGGTAGAGGATTGAGTCGGCAGCCTCGGGCGATAACCGAGACCGTAGGGTCCGTTTAGGAAGGGGCCGAATGAGCCTGTCCGGATAAACAGGCGACGGAGTATCTGGAGCTGAGTTATACATCCCATCTGCAGGCGGACAGAATCAGCAACGGATCTAGCTGGCAGTGGTCTTCTCTCCTCTCCAAACACTCCCCATCCGGCTGGTGCTGGACCGGCATGATAAGACGTCCAGAAGAGAAGACATCCTTTCTGAGAGGAACATACTCAACGTAGCAGTCATCGTCATGCAGGTATCTCAGCTCAGTAACCGTCGACGACCACAGCCGAACGGCGGGCTATTTTTTTCTGTTCCCTGTCCCCTGAATCACCGTGCCCCACAACTAGGTATTGAAGGTCCTCTGAGACTCTTGGGTAATTCTATTCTTGCTTGTCGACCTCTGCCTCGTCCCCAAAAGTCAGACAACAGTCCCGAGTCAAGAATATATGACGTTCTGCTGGTCGCGTTGCGAATACCGAGTAGGGAAAGAGAGGGGGTGGGATGAGAACGGAGAGGAACCTAAACCGAAGTAGTTTGGCACCCACAAGTTAGTTGTCACTGTTGGCACGCCCCCAGAGAACATCAAGAGTAATCAAGACTTGAATCAAGATCAAGCCACAGGTAGCGAGAAAGCCAAAGCAATCCCTATAGTATTGTTCACGAAGCTTGATGCAACTTACAAAGCGAGTGACCATTAATCAGCACTAAACGCCCATGCAAAATTTTTGGAGAAATAGCCGGACAAGAGGTTCGGGAAAGACCCAGTAGAAAGAAACCCGGGTGTCACGAAGATCTGCACAGACCCAAAGGCTCGGAGAAGAAGTGAATCAGAAGAAGGGAATGGTAAGTAAAAGAAGTATTCACAATCAAAAGGAGCTATTGATAGGGGAGAAATTAGAAAAAGGAAGATGGACGATGGAGGGGTGAAATTGACCATAAGAGTAATAACAACCTATCTCCGTACATGATAGTTCTTTTTGGAGCTGCGGGTTCTCGCCCTGAGGCTCCGATTTGACGCCTGAGGCCTCAACCAGCGCTATTCCATTTCGGGACCGAACAGTCTCCATCGCAGGCAGGATACACATTTTCTATTTCTACAAATATTTCCTGAAGATGAGTTGGGAAGTACTTTTCAACCGTATCAATGATCATTTGGCAGGAAGACTCTTATTTTCACGACATTCGTCGAATACCTCAGAGTTTTAAAAATACTCTAGCGGATGGCAAGTTCAACGATCGAGTCCAGCTGTTGATTAAAACTACCGTCTACAAGCTGTGAATCGAAACAGGCACCATACCGTGCACTGCTCGCAAGAACAGCTCTCATACATTGGTTACCTTTATGTGATGCTCTCCTATTCCCAAGCGCTCTATGGGCAACCATTACTGAAGGAACACGCTATGGTACTTCTGGAGCTGAAAGCTCATGCACTCGTAGAAAGGAGCAGTACCTTAAGATGGGGATCAATCTTCCATAGCTGAACAATTTCATCGAGTTCTTTCAGAGTCCACCGGCGAATGTGGTGATGAAACGAGGCTCTCTTCTTGTATGATGGCAACATCCGCAAGGATTAAGCTCCCTGAACGTTCATGGAGGACGGCTTCCTCGCGACAACTCCTCTAACTACCTGGACAGTGGGAGAACTCAGTTTTCCCTGTCCACCCAATGAACCGGCTCATCTCCAGTCTTTGTTTAAATTCGAATCGGTAGGTAGTAAGGAGGCAGGCTGTGGACGTTGCGTGCGGTCGACGCTTGATAAGCGGGGTTTTCTAGTGGAATGAATGGCGGAATGGACGATGCCATCATCGGCTCTGTCAAACGAGGTCAGCCGTCTCAGTCATACACCATCGGAAGCAACTCTGCTCTGAAAACACCAGGCGAGATGTAATGTGAACATCAAGAAGATGATAGCAATTTCTTTGCAATAGTTGAGTCTCGAGGTTCGGGGAGCGCAAAACGAGACCTGGTAGATGGTGAGCGGGGAAAAGCCCGGAGAGGAGAGAAAAAGAAACCCGCTTGCGGTCCGCCTTTTTTGATTAGGATTGTTACTGCTAGTACTGCTACTGCTACCAAACTCGCTTTCTCCTCTCCCCCCATCTCATTCTTCTTCCCTTGTCTCCCTCCCCTCCACCCTCACAAACAGAAATCTGCAGATTATGTAGTCCTCGGCTCAGACTCGAGCTCGCAGACGCTACATTTTGGATTCTTTTTCAACTTCGTGTCTCAATCGCCAGCTCCTACTCTTTGCCTTGTCGGTCCTTTCGCTCTCTTTTTTTCGCCTTTCCTACGAGTCGTCGCTGTCGAATCCCAGCTACTTACCCGCGTGCGACTGCTCGCACATGGGCAGCTTCTGCTTATAATTGTGCCTTGCTTGACTCTTAAATACTTAACCTATCCTCCATAATCGTCCCATTGCCAGAATTATTGTACTTCATTCGCTTCGCAGTCCTCCGCCATGACTCCTCGTCGCTCTTCTCGCGCCCGCACCTCCCAACCCTCGCCCGCCATCCTTCAGCATACAAATTCCTCCAGCTCGTCGAATTCCTTGACTCGCGAAAGAAGCACTCGGTCGAACCATAAAATTTCGTCGCCTCAGAGATCTTTGACCCAACGTTCTCAGTCCATTGATGATGCCGACAGTGCCACAAGAAACGACTACCCACAAACACGGCAGCGCCAGCGCTCCCGGGGAGATGATGACAATCTGAGATTGAACGGGGAGGAGGATGATGAGGATGAAGACGGAGAGGGTGACGAAGAAGAAGAGGTTACCCGATGTCTTTGTGGGCAGCAAGACTACCCAGGCCTGCCTCCCTCTCGGCGGGAGGCTCTCGGTCGCAACGGGGTGGCTGTTGGGTTCAAGGATCAACATGCGTTGAATCTTTCCGCAGATTCATCGGACCTGATGTCCGACGACATCGGTAGCATGTTCATCCAGTGTGATTCCTGCAAAGTTTGGCAACACGGTGGCTGCGTGGGAATTATGGATGAAGCGATGAGTCCCGACGAATACTTCTGTGAGGAGTGTCGGAAAGATCTTCACAGAATCAAGAATGAGTCCAACGGGTATGTCTTCAAACCTCTTCTCTACTTTCATTTCAAGGATTTGCCCTTCTATGATTTACCGCGTCCATTCGGCCTTGAATTGCCCGGACGATACCGTCAGGCTCTTCGTTACCCGTCGAGGCTGAGCCAATGCTCTAAATTCTCACCCACCTCAACCGCGATGCTCTTACGTGGAATCATCTTTCAACTATATGGCCGTCGTGCTTACACTCTCGCAGACAATATTCATCGCAGTACCTCCCAGTCGCCCCCATCCAACCTTCCCCTGCAACCTCCCGTGACTCGTCCCGTGATAATTCGCGACGGGCGAAAGACTCCAAATCACGACAGAACGAGTCGATTGCCAACCCCAAACGCAGATCAACCATGAATAGTCGTGATGCAGCTTATGACGAAGAGGAGCAGCTCCGGCGAGCGATCGAAGAGAGCAAGGAAGATACTCAGCCCCCTGCAGAGGACATTGCTCTCCGACGAGGCAAGCGGAGTCGAAGTGACAGCGAAGCGTGAGTCGGATGACGGCCCTTCCCAAGTAACATTGGTCTTTGGTGCTGCTGCTGACCCGTTTTCCCCGCCTAGTCACAAGCAGGTGACGAAGCGCCAGCGTACAAGTTCCCCTTCACCAAGCGCTGTCTCAAAACCAGAAAACGCAGAATCCCAACCTGCATCAGAAGATGAGTCGAAGACGAACGTTAATGGCAACGGCACAAAAAACTCTAGGGTGGCACCGCGGGGTCATCGTGAAAAGCCCATCAAAGAACCTGAAGAACCCGAAACAGACCCCGCGGAGATTGCGAGCCGCAAGAAGGGAAAGTTGGAGAGGCGAAATGGTGAAGGTAAGAGCCCTGTAGTTATCTTGGGATTTCTCGACCTAACACATTTGCAACGAGCAGATGCCGACCGTGAGATGGCATCGCCGACCAAAGCCACTGTGGAAGACCATGAACCCCCTCAAACTAGCCCGGAGACCGCTGCACCTGCTCCGGAACCTGCTCCCTCCCGTCCGTCAACCCGCAAGTCTGGACGCCCACCTGCGCGCCGTGGTGGCAGGGTCGGACGTAACCAATATACCAGGGATCGAGATATAAATGGAGCTGACTCTCCACGCCGGGGGCAATCACACGATATCGGTGGGGACTCGCCGAGAGTGGGGACAGTCAACGGAGCGCACTACAATGTAGATTCTGGAAAACCGAGCAGGCCGCGCTACATGAACCCTCAACGGACTACCATGAACGAGATGAAGAGACGAGTTGCTGGAATCCTTGAATTCATCTCCCGGATGCAGGTCGAGATGGCTGTTGCCGGCGAAACTTCCACCCCTTCTGGCAATGGAGACCAACCAAATGGCTCTCTCACAAAGGCCACGATGGATCAAATCGAGACTGCATTACTTTCGAATACCAACGAAGTGGAGTCAGGGACATCAAGCATTGATAGCGAAACAGGGTCTGGTCAGGCTTCCAAGGAGAAAGAGTTTAAAGATCTGAGCAGCGTTGAAATGATGGATGTCCTCACGCGTCATCTACTGAAGTGGCAACAGGAATACGGCAAATTCGGGGAAAGGTGACGATCCTTGTCATCCCTTTCGACCCGAGGATGTCCTTCCTTGATTCGTGTTCATGATCATAAATGTGCCTCTCTTCTTGGCCGACTTCCACTTAGGGCTTTGTTATAAGCGATACCCTGTCCGTCTCTTCTCTCCGCATGTGGACATGTACAATATGGCTTCTGGATCATCCCTTTTTTGCAACTTGATCGACTTACGGCGTTACCAGGATTTCAAGGCATCAGCGCATTTCTCACCCTGAGTGATCCAGCATCTTGATACTCGACCTGCGATGTGACATGTTGAATCATCTCCTTACGCTCCGCTTCAGATAATGCTTTCCACCATGATACACTGGTTATGCGTTCGGCGTATGCTTTTCTGCTCCACTTTTCTTCAGGATCCCTATAAAGATGCTCCTGGCCAGACGGCGTTGGTTCATCCTCTTCTTTTCTTTATTCCCTTCGCCTC